ACACGCACGCACACACCAGTGAAACTTATGTTGTCTTGTACACAGGGCCATATCCCTGCTCCGACAAGCATCGGCGTCGAACCACGTGGAGATGGTCGTGACGAGAGATGCAGAAGCAAGGTGAGCAACCCTTTTTGTCTCTGAAGTGTGGTGTGGTTAAATGCCCGGGAGCAAATGACCTGGGTTTAGATTTGTCTTCAGACAATGGAAGAAAATATTTTTGAAAGCTTTTGCTCTCTCCACAATTTCTGTTTGGAGTTTGAGGAAGGGGCTATTTGACTTGCTGTTTAACTAACTCTTGTAAATTTCAAGTGGGTGATTAATGGGTGCTCTGGCATGGTTTGCTCCTTCTTTCCTCTCAAACATCCTATCGTTATTCTTTTCTTTGAATGCACCCTTTCTAATAATCTCTTATCAGTCAAAGACATCATTCTCCCTCACAAATGACCGCTTCCCACTTCCCCACGCTGCATTTTTTTTCTATATTATGACACTGTCGAAGACTTTTAAAAAGTTTTTTTTTTACTCTCCTACATTTACCTGTAGAACTGAGTATGCCGAGTACTTGAACAAGTGTGGCCCAATTCAGAGTCCAGCCCTGGTACTGGACCATCAGTACGACGGTCAGATTCCAGGTGAGGAACTGGGGTTATTTTTGTTTTTTAAAACCTAGCTACTGCTAAGCTCTCCCTCTTCTCCGTGACTTCAGTAGGTTGAATGTGCATGATTGCTTTGGAGGGTTTGTTGTTGTTTTGAGGAGGTTCAAGACCTCATATGTCCTGGTCTTTAGTGATATCGTCTTTAACCCTTTGTTGAGCCCTAGCCAGCCACCAGTACATCGATGGCACTTAAAACTGCCCATATGCCAAGCCTCCGGTACTGAGTATGTTTTTGATTATTTTGAAGATCTTTCTGAATTAGATACTGGTAATGACCAGGACTACCCAGTGTGGGATGTGGAATGTGATTCTGACAATCATAATATGAATGTTAGTAATATATCGCTCAGGAGCTGAGGCAAAGGGGCACGGTAGCCTCAGGAGGTCAGGGCTCAAAGGGTTCAGGAAGCAAATCAGACTCGGGTCTTTCAGAGTAAGTAAGCACCCACACTATCAAATTCAAACCAAGATTTGGATTGTGAGATGTAGTTTGTTTTTATCCTTTGTCTGTATCACTGTAATTACTAGATCAGTTTCTGGGGCAAGGAATTGGCGTAAGTGTGATAAAAGATCAATACTTCCTTCTGTTTGTAGAGCAGCATAGATCAGTGTGGAATCTTGAGAAGAATCTCTGAAATTGATGTACAGAAAAGTGGGAAGACGTGGAATAATGTCAAGAGGCTAGCCCAGGATAGAAAAAGGTGGAAAGTGTTTGTCTGTGGCCTATACCCTGGTGCAGGGTGAGAAAGGCCATGATGATAGATCAGTATGCAGAGAGATCTGACCTTTCCAGCCAGTCTCGATCAAATGGTTTGTCATGATTTTTGTCACCTAATCGGAGCCATCACGTCTCATAAACTTTTTCTTTTTTCTTAACAGTTTTGATGCTTGATGCTTTATTTCTTTTTTGTGTGTGTATGTTAGTAATGGTTTTCAATTCTATCAAATAGTGTTGTTTTAATTTTAAAAAATTTAATGACCTTTCAAACCAGTCTCAGCCTAATGGACTTGGTTCATCCTGATTTTTGTCACATAATCTCAGGCACCATGCCTTGTTATATCACCACTCGTATACTTTTCTATCTCTGAACAGTTTTGATGTTCGATGTTTTATCTCTTTTTTTTGTTTGTGTGTGTGTATATCAGTCGGGTTTTTGATTAAAATCAAATAATGTTTTTGTTGTTTTAATTACTTTGTAATGTTGATTGTTTCCTTTTTCAGATTCTGAATTAGACTTCCGTAGGAAGATGGGGTCACTATTAAAGGTAAGATTTTTTTTAAAAACCTGTTTTCTTGCTTGACCATTATTGTGTGGATGTTCACCTGTTTACTGAAGATAACAGCTCTCTGTAGTTCCCCTTTCTGTCAACTGAGGTTCCAACCTTGCCAAAAAAACCCCAGAAGTATCGGAAACCGCTACTATGTGGGTGTTGCCTTCAAAGTAAAGTATTTGGATGAATTGACTCATGTAAAAGTAACTCCTCCCTCTCTCCTGCCTAGTGGGTGGTTGGTGGCTGCTCTGGTGTGGTTTGCTCCTTCTTTCCTATCAAACATCTATTGTCTTTATCTCTCCTCCCTCTTTTTTTTATATTTGTTACTCTCTTGTAACATCTCTAATCTTCATCACTTATATGACCTTACTGTGTTGCAAGTGCCGTAAAACGCTAACAAAAAAACTACTGAGGTTTGATCAGCTGACAAGTGTACTATCTCCCATCAGTTTTCTATTTTAAGGTGGTTTCGAGTAACAACTCCTCTGACTGATCGGTCAGGGGATCTTTCGCTGGAGCAGCTTAACCCCCCCCCCCTCGTTAATCATGGATTTTTTTTTCTTTTTCTTTCAGGACACAAGTCTTGACCTAAATTCCTCAGGAAATCAAAATGATCTGAATTTGTCAGGTGAGTGAAATCAATCTTTTTCTAGTAACCCTTCTAATCTTCGGCACTCATATGACTTATTTGTGTTGCAAGTTGCGTAAATCTCTTTTTAAAACTGAACTGGATTTCTTTCCTACCCTTTTAATATTTGTTTGATGATTTTTTTTGCTGTTTTGTTTTTTTCCCTTGCTTTTCAAGTGTTTAGTTGTACATTGTGGTCTGCTCTTTCTGCTTCTGTTTAGTGTTCTAAGCAGGTGGTTGAAGGGCGCCACTGGTAGGTCCTACTTCTTTACTTTCCTTCTCTGTTGTTTCTGTCTGTCTGTGTCACCTTTTCCCCAGCACTAAATGATCACTAATGTTTCTGTCTGTCTGTGTCACCTTTTCCCCAGCACTAAATGATCACTAATGTTTCTGTCTGTCTGTGTCACCTTTTCCCCAGCACTAAATGATCACTAATGTTTCTGTCTGTCTGTGTCACCTTTTCCCCAGCACTAAATGATCACTAATGTTTCTGTCTGTCTGTGTCACCTTTTCCCCAGCACTAAATGATCACTAATGTTTCGATGGGCTTCTTTTTGCTCAAACAAAACAAACAAACAATAGTGTTCTGTTGTTTTAATCTGCTCCTGGCAATATCTCACCATCCATATTTGAAGGTTTCCACAGTATTTAATTTCCATTATTATATCAATTTTTATATTTTTTTACGGTAAGGAGCAATGACAATTTTCTTGAATATAGTAGTTTCCTTGAACTCTTTTAGGTAACCTTGGTGACCTGAACGGCCATATCAGCCCAGCGTCGAGCTGTGCCAGTGAATTAGCCAACCACATCTCCGAGTCGAGCAGCTCGCCCCGCCTCCCTCGCCCGTACCCGGCAAACGGTGGAAAGGACACGCCCTCGAACTATCTCGACCCGATGCTGTCGAAGAAGCTGGCACAAGATCCGGACCTCAGGCTTCATATAGATCAGCTGGAATCGGTAATTTCATCATGCTGGAATGGGTTGTTGTATTTGGGGGGGGGGGGGTCCCTTAAAAGTAATACTGGAATGGGTTGTTGTTTTTGGAAAGGGGGGGGGGGGGTCCCCTTAACCCTTCCAGCCCCGAGCGCGTATATTTTCAGCAGTGCCTGTACCTCCCACCGTCCCAAGAGCGTATATTCTCAGTTTTAGGGGGTCCCGAATTTGAACATTTTTCGAAATTAGCGAACTCAATTTTACTTAGATTTTCATAATATTTGTTCATTTGCCTTTAGAAATTGTTACATGTTATTATCCAAACCTCATTACATAGATACTACATGACGTTTTTAAATGCACGCCTCTTCTTCTGAAATACTGCTGTATTGGCTGGGACTGGGGTTAGGGAGTGCACAAAACTGGCTGGGGCTGGAAGGGTTAAAGAAGTTTGATATGTACAGTTGAAATTGTCTAAGACAGCTACTCATTTTCGGGGGGGGAGGGAGTGGTTGTCTTGGATAGGTGGTCATCTAGTACAGTGTCAGTATCTATTATCTATTTGTGGTGGCTGAATTTTCCTATTCAAAAGGCTTTTTAATGGCTGCATCGATCGACATGCGGTTTTCGCCAAAAAATTCTTTAAAGTATTCTCCGAGCATGACGCCCTTGGTTTTTTCAGTTTTGAGACAGTTTAGCCGCAAAAAGCTACATTTCTTTATTTCGCCGATCGCTTTTGTAGGCTGACGCTTCTGTCTCTGTAATTTTAGAAAATCCGGAAGTGATATTTCGCGAGGTGCATTTTGTTTTGAGAGTATAGATCTAGTCCTTATAATTTTGTTCATCTCTCAAGATTTATTGCCCCATTCCAGTAGGCTAGAGTGTAAATATATTAAAGCACCGATCATTCCTTTCATCGAAAGGGGGCCCAGCTAGTTATATTTTAAAAAGACAAAAGGAAAGTGGGAAGTTGTGGTTTGTACAGGTAGCCATTCAGGCTGGTTTGACTGTATTATCTATCAATACGAATTTGAAGCATGTAAGTGCTTTCATGTATTGAGAGCATTCATAAATAGACCAAGATCTTTCATATCCGTTTTTTGTTTCGTTTTTTTTTTTTTAGTCTTTAAAAATCATCCCCCCCCTCCTGATGATCCTAGTTGTGGGTGGTTGTGTCTCTGTTGAGTCTGTCTAACTTATTTAATTTGTTCCCTGCTGGAAATGACTGCTATTGTATCTAATTTAATCGATCCCTGTTAACAGGGTTGTGTGTTTGTTTTATCTATTCTCGTGGTATTACCGTAAACCATCTCATGCTGTGGGTGGTTAGCGGGGGCTCTGGTGTGCTCAGCTCCTTCTTTCCTATACAAACATCTATCGTCCTCATCTCTCCTCCTTCTTTTTTGTGTATGTTTCTCTCTTGTAACACATCTATTCTTCAGCACCTATATGACCTTATTGTGTTGCAAGTGCCGTAAAACTGTTACTAAAACGTAAACCCTCTTATGCTGTGGTGAATTTGTTTTTTTTTGTGTTCATGGGGTATTACTGCAAACTTTCTCACAGGCTGTGTTGAATCTGGTTTTGTGTGTTCTTGTTTCATTACTGTAAACTTTCTCTCAGACTGTGTTGAATCTGGCTTTGTTTGTTCAAGTGGTATGACCATAAACCCTCTCATGCTGTGGTGATTTTGATTTTACATGTTCATGTTGTATAACTGGGTTTTACATGTTCATGTTGCATTACTGTAAACTCTCTCTCTCTCTCTCTCTCTCAGGCTGTGGTGAATCTGGGTCTTCCCCTGTCGGCTGCCAGTCAGAACACTTTGAGGGAGAAGCTGAGTGTGGACAATGATGGGATGGTCAGGTTTGAGGGTAAGTGTTTCAGGGGTCGTCTTGCTCATGTTTTTTTTTACCTTAATCTCCAAGGAAGTTGTGATCCTCTGAATGCTTTATCATATCGTCACAGTCTTGCGTGGTTGTCTTATGTCAAAATATGAGGTTCTCAGGAGAAGTGAAACATTCTTGTATTTCAAGTAACGTTGTCGTTATGAGAAATGTTTAGTTTGTCGAAATCCGTTACTATTTTAAGAAGAGCCATGAGATTAGAACGACTAACCAACGCGCCTCATCAAACTCTACACCGTACTTGATTTTCATTTATTCAAAATTTTGGCAAACTTTAGTGTTGAATGATGGCCGCAATATGTGTCTTTAAGAATGGATTCCCTGATTATGTCACAAATTACCTTGAAGGTCAAAACGAACGTTCCAAATAGCTGGAGAATTAACGGTTATTTTTAAAGTGGTTCTTAGAGCAAGTCAACCTAGTTTGGCCAGTTGGTAATATACAGTAAAACTCTGATAACACAGATTTCATGAGATCTGAAAATTTCGTTGTGTTTGATAAGCAGATTTCATGAGATCTGAGAATTTCGTTGTGTTTAATAAGCAGATTTCATGGGATTTGAGAATTTCTTTGTGTTTAATAAGCAGATTTCATGGGATCTGAGAATTTCGTTGTATTTAATAAGCAGATTTCATGGGGTCTGAGAATTTCGTTGTATTTAATAAGCAGATTTCATGGGATCTGAGAATTTCTTTGTCTTTAATAAAAGCAGATTTCATGGGATCTGAGAATTTCTTTGTGTTTAATAAGCAGATTTCATGGGATCTGAGAATTTCTTTGTGTTTAATATAAGCAGATTTCATGGGATCTGAGAATTTCGTTGTGTTTAATAAGCGGATTTCATGGGATCTGAGAATTTCTTTGTGTTTAATAAGCAGATTTCATGGGATCTGAGAATTTCTTTGTGTTTAATATAAGCAGATTTCATGGGATCTGAGAATTTCTTTGTGTTTAATAAGCAGATTTCATGGGATCTGAGAATTTCGTTGTGTTTAATAAGCAGATTTCATGCGCTCATATGACCTTAGCAGTTGCGAGCGCCGTAAAACCCTATACTACTACTACATGCAGATTTCATGGGATCTGAGAATTTCGTTGTGTTTAATAAGCAGATTTCATGGGATCTGAGAATTTCGTTGTGTTTAATAAGCAGATTTCATGGGATCTGAGAATTTCTTTGTGTTTAATATAAACAGATTTCATGGGATCTGTGAATTTCGTTGTTTAATAAGCAGATTTCATGGGATCTGAGAATTTCGTTGTGTTTAATAAGCAGATTTCATGGGATCTGTGAATTTCGTTGTGTTTAATAAGCAGATTTCATGGGATCTGAGAATTTCGTTGTGTTTAATAAGCAGATTTCATGTTGAGAGAAGTTGCAATGCATAGAGTAAAGCGGGAGGGGTGGGGGGGGGGGGGGGGGTTACATTATTACAAACTAAATGGTTTTGTTCTAAACAAAGTAGTGTTGTAGCAGTAAATGATCAGAAGTTTGATTCCTCTTTCATCTCTGTGCTGTTACTAGAATGCTGTCCCTAAGCCGTACTGAAATCTATTTACTTGATATCACATGTGAATGTTTTTTGTTTTTTCTCAGAGTTTGTTGAGGCTTCCAAGACAGTGTTTAGAGAGGATCTGAGAGCTTTGAAAGGCAGGATGACCCCAAAGGTTGCTGAAGACACGGCTAGTGCTCAGGTGAGGGCTCTATAATAATAATAATAATTGCATTTATATAGCGCCAGAGCATGCTCTATGTGCTTTACAACTATTATTACCCCAGCAGACCCTATGAGAACACTCAGAAACATACTCGGCTTCCGGAAGCATACAGTGCAAGCTGCGGATTTCACGCGCTCAAACACTATCAAACTGACAAGATCGTTCACTGTCTATAGCCGGGTACCCATTTCCACCTGGGTGAAGTGAGGAAAATTATTTCAAAGTGCCTTTTCCAAGGACACAACGTCGGGCCCCTGACGGGATTCGAACCCACGACCTAACGGTTGCGAATCCGAGAGCTCGGAGACTTCTGTTGGTGTGTCCTAGTATATAAGGCTTTTGTCTGCTGGAATGTCCTATTGTAGGGTTTTCATTTGTTGGGTTGTCTTAGTGGAGGGTTTTCATCTGTTGGGTTGTCTTAGTGGAGGGTTTTCATCTGTTGGGTTGTCTTAATTTAAAAGACGCAGACTGATATCAGAACAAATTGATTTAGTTTCACAAGGTTAAAAAGAAAAATATTGTAATGGTTTTGTGATTAAAAAAATTAAGAATGACCAAATGTCGAAGGCCTCATTTCCTATTTATATAGTGTAAAGCACATGGAGCTTGCCGTAAAGCGGAGTTATGCGCTATACAAATGAAATTTACTACTATTTATAATAAATACTTTTTCACTTTATTATTATTTATAATAATTTCTTTTTCACATTTTAAATTTAGAAAGCGAAAAAGAAATAGACAATGAGGCATTTGGCTAACAAGTAGAGAGACAGTTATCTTGAAGAATTGCAGTTTATTGTTCTCAAGATTACAGTGCTTTGAACTGCTGCTTCCTATCCAATATCTATCTTCCTTATCTCCCCTTCTTTTTTAAAATGTTTGTTACTCTCTTGTAACACCTCTAATCTTCGGCACTTATATGACCATATTGTGGTGCAAGTGCCGTAACACTCTTTATTAAAACTTTGAAATAAAAACCGAACGGAATGTGTTCCCAGGCGGGCGTGGCTGTGGAGGATTATGCCACGGTGGTCAGGGAGAGGGACACGCTGAGAGCTGAGCTGGCCGCTCTCAAGGAGGAGATGAAGAGTCGCTGCCAGTCTAGTCAGAGCGACAAGGAGCAGCTGCTGTATATTCGAAAGGTAAGATGGGGGGGGGGGGGGGGTGAATGGGGAAGGTGGGGGGGGGGGGGAGGGAGGGAGGATGGGGTTAGGATGGGGGGGGGGAATTTGGGGTTGCGAATGGGGAGAGGAGGGGTGGGGCTAGGTTGTAGGGGCTGGGAGGAATAAGTGTTGAATTGAGCTACTTTCTTTTTAGGATGGTCAGTTATACAAGAATATAATTTCAAGATGTTCCGACATTTTTAAGTCAATTTTTTACTGAGCTTATACCCTGCTTTTTTATTTCTGAAAATTATGTTTATGTTTGGGGTTATGTGCTTTGAAGTGAAAATTTTTGTAAATACTTTTATTTCAGAGAGGGGGGTCTATTTGTAGTTTTAAGGAAAGGGAGGAGAGAGGGTGAAAATTTTGATTTAAAAACCACAGATTGATAACAGAATGAATCTATTTAGCTACACAAGTTTATTTTAAAAAAATGATTGTTGTAAATGTTTTGTGATGAACAAATAAAAGCGGAGCGTGTGTCCGGAGACACGTCAGACATCGATCGCTACGATCTTGTACGGCTTGATCTGTCTAGATTGGTTGTCCCCTTTACACAGGGTCTTTCTTAGCTGGAGCTCTCGATGCACTGGCGGGTCGCACGGTCGAGCTCTGTTCTAAATTGCGTTGGCTGTAGCGTTTACACGGCGTGGCGGCCACTGGGGTTCTTTCTGTCAGGGCTTCTCTCTATATCGCGTTAATAAAAGAAGTACATGTACCTGTTCTCAATGGAGAAGGTAAGGAAAAAAAAAAAAGAAATTTAAGAACATGGCTTCCAGATAAAGTGAATTTTCATTGAGAATTGCAGTTTTTTTCTAATGTTAAAAAAAAATAATAATTGAGAATCCATGACGTGTTTTGATTGTTTTTTTCTGTGTGATTTTAGAAGTCTCCATTTGAAGCGTCTTCTCTGTTTTATCTGAATGAACACAGCAAGCACAGACGTCGATAGAAGAAGGGAGATCACTGCGTAGCAAGCTGCACCTGGCGGAACAGGCGCACGCCCGGGCGCAGCAGACGGAGCGAGACTACGAGGAGGTGGTGGCCATGCTGGAGAACGAGGTGGCCCAGCTCAAACTGCAGCTGTCCAAGTCGGTGAGTTCGTTTGTTTGTTTGTTTTAGTAGAGGTTTTACGGCGCTCGCAACTGCATAAGGTCATATGAGCGCCAGAAGATTAGAGGTGTCACAAGAGAGTAACAAACATAAAAAAAGAAAAAGGGGAGATAAGGACGATAGATGTTTGATAGGAAAGAAGGAGCAAACCACACCAGAGCGCCCGCCAACCACCCACTCGGTGAGTTCACCGGAGAAAAGTTGTCTTTTAGGGAATTGGTTTTAGGACCTCAAGGTGTCCTTTGTTCCTTGATTTTTAAAAATTATAGATAATTTCTTTGTAATTGTAGGTGTTTTTAACACCCCGTCCTTCCTCCCCCCCCCCCCCCCCCCTCCTCCTCAATAGTTACAAGTTAGATAATAATCAGGAGGTGTTTGTCAGTTGTTTTCAATTAATTCAGTGAATTGATCTTTTACTTTTGTTGGGTGTTCCTGATTGGGTTTTGAAAAGTTTGGCTCAAGGTGCCTCCCGTTCCTGAAATATTAATCCATGATCACTGTGGTATATCGCTACTCTAGAATGACAAAGTTTTATTTGCTCTGTATACCTAGTTTTGAGAAAGTGGGTGGTTGCCGGGTGCTCTGGTGCGATTTTCTCCTTCTTAACTATCAAACATCTATTGTCCTGATCTCACCCCTTCTTTTTTTGTGTTTTCTACTCTCTTGTAACACCTCTAATCTTCAGTGCTTATGTGACCTCATTGCGTTGCAAGTGCCGTAAAACTCTTACTGAAACAAGTTTTGAGAAATGGGATGTCAAAAATTTTGAGTTTCACATGTTGTGCTTTTTTAATGCAATTCTTTAAAAATCTTCATAACAATTCCGAATAATCGTCCGATCTTGATAGAGCAGATAGAACATTTGGTTTCTGACCTTATGGTCTTAATAACTCGAAACAAGTAAACAATGTCAGTGGGTGGTTGGTGGTTGCTGTGGTGTAGTTTGCTCCTTCTTTCCTATAAATAATCTATCGTCTCTATCTCCCCTCCTTCTTTTGTGTGTTTGTTACTCTGTTGTAACACCTCTAATCTTCGGCACTTATATGACCTCATTGTGTTGCAAGTACCATAAACTCTTACTGAAACAAGTTTTGTGAAATTTAACGTAAAAAATTTTGAGTTTCACATTCCAAGCTTTTTTAAAATGCAATTCTTTGAATATTTTCATAACGACTCCGAATAGTCTTATGATTTTGGTAGAGCATATATAGAACATTTGAATGATTTGGTGGTTTCTGACTCCATAGTCATAATAACTCCAAACAGTCAAAAATGTTCGATAGAACTTAGTAATTCTGAGGTAATGATGACTCATTATCATGTATGTGTCTTGCGACTCTCTCAGGACGGCGTCAACATGCAAAAGAGGCTGGCCGTCCTGGTGTGTCAGCTCAAGAAGGCCGAGTCGGGCAAGAAGACGTACGAGGTGGCCACGGACAAACTGATGCGATACGTCGAGGTTAGTACGTCGTGTGTATACGTAGATGTGTGAAGCAGTGTGGTGAAATCAGGCGCTCAGCAAAATAATGAAATCGAAGATGTCAGCCTGTTCCTGATGATGTGGCAATTTTTATCAAATTCTAGTTTTTTTTTGGCTCAGCACATTTTATCTCCTTTTAAAAACTCATTTGTGAAGTGTGCTGACAAAATGAGTTACCTCTCAGATTTTAGCCCGATGGAAATAGAAACATCAAATGTATAGGTTGAAGTTTTACAATTTATCTGTATGAAATGATAAAACACATGTTAAACTTAAAGAGAATGGCATTGGTTTAGAGTCTACAAATATGACCATTGTGTTGATTTTTGGCAGATATCTCGATTCATGGATTGCGAGAAGTAACTCATTTTGTCAGCACGTCTCACATTTATATGTTGATCTTTCGGAAAAAACGTTGAATAAAGACACTAAAAATGTGCATTTTCCGTTTCCAATGACCCTGAAGCTTTGGAAGTCCACAAAGCATTGGCAGCCGTTTTCTTTCTAATTTTACCACTGAAACCAGGTGTCCCCCACCTCCTTCAAACACAAATATTTCAACTTTTATTCAAGTTAAATGGATTTTTTTAAAATGTAAAGATAAACAAATGAACTTGCTTTAAGATGATACCAATAACTCCACCTGCTCAAAAACTGACAAGCGCCTGATTCCACCGCGTTGTGACGTATATGTTTATGTGTATGTGTGTGTATGTGAGAGATCCAGGTGTTGTTACATGACTGTGGCGGAGTGGGTCAAAATACAGAATCTTTGCTCTTTTGGGTGGGTGAATATGAGGGGGGGGGGGGTTAATTAGTACTTGACAGATACATTCTCAAGTAAGTATTTCAGATGGTAAGGTCAATTTTTCTCCTGATGCAACATTTTGTTCTATAATCTGTGGTAGGAGAAATACAATATCTTCGTCAGTGCTCTTAGATATTTTGAAATTGAAGACGAAAGTGTTTTCACTTTTCTCTTATTTCTGAAATTTTATTGTGAACTTTGGGGAAGAGTGTTGTGAACTTTGGGGAAGAGCGTTGTATGGTGTATGTTTTATGCTGGTTCTGTTTTCAAAGCTGCTGTATATTCTGTCATTTTGCAGCACTCGGTGGACGTACTGACATCCGTTGAAAATTCACCAAGGTGAGTTCTTTGATCGTAATTTGTAGTAGTTGTGAATTTTACAATTGTTTTGTGAGTGGGTGGTTGGCGGGTGCTCTGGTGTGGTTTGCTCCTTCTGTCTGATCAAACATCTGTCGTCCTTATCTCCCCTTCTTCTTTTTTTTAATGTTTATTACTCTCTTATAACCCCTCTAATCTTCTGGCGCTCATATGACCTTATGCAGTTTCGAGTGCCGTAAAATCTCTACTAAAATTAAAAAACTAAATTGTTTGTGCTTTTTTTGGTGGAGGGGTAATATAGACAGTTGTTTATTTCACCAACAGAGAGCGCAACTTACAGGTAGTTGGGTGCATGTCCTACTCGATATCTTATCTTACCTTATTTTATCTTATCTCGTCTTATCTCACCTTATCCTATCCTGCCTTGCCTTACCCCTTACCTTCTCTTATCTTATCCTGCCTTACCTTATCTTATCTTATCTTGCCTTATCTTTTCTTATCTTATCTTACATCATCTTATCTTATCTTATCTTATCCTGCCTTATCTTATCTCATCTTATCTCATCTTATCTTATCTTATCCTGCCTTACCTTACCTTACCTTACCTTACCTTACCTTATCTTATCTCATCTTACCTTACCGTCTCTCATTTTACCACATTCCCCAGGATCTTGCCGGGTGTGGACAGTGCCAACTCCAAAGCCAACAAGAAGAAAGCCCTCAACACTCTGTCGGTGGAGGGCAGAGAAGCCATCAAGACAGTCCGCTCGCTCATGGAGACAGTTCGTGAGTTGTTGGTTTTTTTGTTGTTTTTTTTGTTGGTTTTTTTTGTTTGTTCTGTTTTCCTGTTGTGCTTGTTTTTTCATCGCTTTGATTTCACAAAGCTGTTTCTCTTTTTCTGAGTTTTGTTAGATTTTTTTGTTTTGTTTAAGTTTAAGGCGTTGTTGGCCGGCCTGGGGTCAAAAGTTTCATGTTGAGGTATGTGCACTCTATTTAAGTTTTGACCGTTTGAAAGAACAAGGGAGTGGAAAACATTCACAAGATGACCATAATTATTTTGCTTATGTTCTTCACTTTACTAAAAACTGAAGTTTGTTTTTTGTGTGTGTGTGTGTGTGTGTCCTTACAGCTTTGCCTTTTGGATGGGAGGAGGCCTACACCGCTGAGGGGGTCAAGTACTATATCAAGTAAGTAGCCGCAAGATATGTTACCTGTACACAGTACCAGCGTCTGTGGTGTAGCGGTTACGGGATTCACCTTTCGCACGCAAAAGACATGTGACATTAAGTTTAATTCCCATGTGGGGAGAAAATGTTATCAAGTACAGTGCAGCCTCTCTATAACGACCTTCCATATAACGACATCCTCTGTATAGCGACATGGTTCCCAGGTCCCGATTTGTCTTTTTAACATATCATTAGTAATATTTTGGGTTGCCTCTCTACAAGAACAACTCTCTATAACGACATTTTTTTCTGGTCCCACCGATGTCGTTACTGTTTCTAAAATTACAGAGACAGAAGCGTCGGCCTAAAAAAGCGATCGGCGAAATAAAGAAATTTAGCTTTTTGCAGCAAAACTGACTCAAAACTGAAAAAACGAAGGGCGTCATGATCTGGAGAATATTTTAAAGAATCTTTTGGCGAAAACCGCATGTCGATCGATGCAGCCATTAAAAAGCCTTTTGAATAGCAACATTCGGCCACCACAAATAGATAATAGATAAGGCCTATCTGTGTCATAAGTGCCTTTAAACTCTTTACTAAAACTAAAAACAGAACAGTAAAAGCTGTATGTCACTGGACTTACAACAACAACAGCCATAGTGTTAGTAATGACTAGAACAAAAACAACATCATCAACAACATTTCCCCCATCTACAGCCACCAGAATCAATCAGAGGCTCTCGTGGCCTAGAGGTTAAGGTGTTGGCCTCTCATTCAAAGGTCCCGGGTTCGAATCCGGGTAGCGACCGAAAAATTTTCTTCTCTAAAATTGT